CATATAACTTATAAACCGGCCATTTTGTCATTTAAAGTCATTAAAAATTATCTTTCCTTGTACAATAACTGCAAAAATATTGTAAGAAATTCAATGCAGCCATGGCAACAGTACTCTGGCTGCAGAGAGGTTTTCCCCCGGGATACTCATACTTTGCCAGCCATAAGAGGTGCAGCTTTGGCAAGATACCGGCAAAGTGCGCAAACACGAGTAGACATGTAATCTGCGGTAAAATTCGGTTAAGGTTTCGGACGAGTTTACGAATATTTATTGAGAATACCACAGAAAACCATCTACAGATATTAATACTAAAGCTGAATCTCCCAGACCCGAATGGGTCCCAAATTTCCAAATTGCATTCGGGAGCTCCCAAATGAAATTGGGGTCTGGGAGCCCCAGCTTTAGTGATATATATATGGCTCCCAGACCCGAATGGCATTCCGGATCCGAATTTATGAATTGCATTCTGGAGCTCCCCAATGCAATTTGGAAATTCGGATCCCGAATGCCATTCGGGTCTGGGAGCCTCCACTTTAGTGATATATGTATATACTGTATATGGCTCCCATGTTGCTGTAACCAAAATTCATGTTCAGATCCATTCTGATGCATTAAGCCGAAAAAAAACATCCGATTGGCCAGAAAAGTCACATGTCCGATTCAGTTTAGTTTTTGAATGAAACTGGGACGGGGATCTGAAATTCGGAAACGAAATCTGGGATTTGGACACATTCGGATGCATTGGGATTCGGCGATGCGGCTGTGTCCGAATTTCGGATAATTCCCCCCGAATTTTGATTCGTAATGAAACGAATCGCACATGTGTAGTCACAAGTCTCTTCATAGTTCAGGAAACAATGACACCGTGGTCTCTATTCTCCTGTCTGGGCCTCTGTACAGTTGTCATTCTCTGCAAATAAAGCAAACCCCAATGCTGCCTCCAAGAGCACGCTATAGCATTTGTTTTTAATCACATGACACAATGGGCGGAGCTTGTACCAAATGGCAAAATCGCACCATTGTGCCTAGGTCTCAGCAGAGGCTGTGCACTGTGATTGGTGAAGGGGAAGCTTGGGAGTGGAGTTATCTACAAGGACCTCCTAGGAGGAGCGCATCTTGCTGTAGTTTTATTTAGAGGGGATCTCCATGTATCATTAAACTGTTATATTACAGCTCAATATCTCCAAATCTGAGACCTTCTACTCTACTTCTACAACTGAGAAAGCGAATCACTCACCTCCTTGCTGACCATCCCGTTCACGTGAATTGGAGGCGGAGTCACCACTGTGGAGTTCTTAAAGTAACGGGCGCGAGGGCTGGTTTTGAACACTTTATTGGTATCGCTGTTGAAGAAAGGATCACATTTTTAACATCAATGTACACACAAGGATAAAGAAGTCAGGTCTGGACCTACACTCGAGCCTCAGTTCCTTTTAGCTCTCTCCTGCGTGGAAATTGACTCCTCTCAATTCCCTGCAAATTTGCATCTCCTCACTATAACCCTTCGAAGCTGCAGCAGCCATCTTGAACCCACCTTCTTTTCCTGTCTGAACAACTTCAATCATCACCATCCCCTCTCCTCCTTATCCGTACTGTTGTCGGGCCATCTCTCACAGCCATTTACTCTCTGTGCCAGCAGTCATTTTTTGCTCTTCGTCATGTGTGGGGATGATCTTCTGGGCTGTCGTTAGTCACTGCACTGTGCTTCCCGAGCATTGTAGGCATGGACACATCCCCCAGCATCCCTTTAAATGTGCATCCCTGCTGGTCAATGGCTGCTGCAGACTTTAGCAGTGCAGTCTGCTAATCAGTTGCTTCATTACACTCCATTGGAATCTACTCAAGCTGGTAATGAGCAGAATGCACAGCTTCAGTCTGCAGCACCCAGTGGCCAGCAGGGATGCATACCTAAAGGGATGCCGGGGATGCGTTCTTTAATGTGATCCTCAAGGCAGGTACTGTGACTTTTCAGGAGCCTGCTGGCCCTTCCCGGCCAAACTTGATCTTATGTCAAAGAAGGGGCAAGCAGGAAGGGCCGCCAGCGATGATGTCAATGCAAATTTCAGCCAAGGATGAGAACATTTCAAAGTGCAGCTGCAATAATGTGCATGCTCAAATGACAGGTTCCCTTTAAAGAATTTTAGGAGAATTCCTGATGCCGGGGGTGAGGATGAGGAGCGTAACTACAGATCACGGGGCCCCATAGCAAACATGTGATGGGCCCCCCGCTGATGACCTCTCTGAGTTGTGGCACCAAAGACTCCTCTGTCAGCTTTTCTACCCTGCAGATGTTACAGAGGATGAGGGTTTCCATCAACTGCAACCCATAATGATACAGTGCTGTGTTATCGTCACATGTTCTATGTTTAATTTTGTCACAACAACCTAATGGGGCCCCCTTCCACCCCCGGCCCCCATAGCAGCCGCCTGGCTATAGTTACCCCGCTGCTGAGGATCTCTTTGGCAGAAACAGGACACAGAAAACCTTCTGCAAAGACTTCCTCTCACCTCTCAGCCTCAGACAGAAGTCGCGGTAAGATTCTGCGGTCCCTGTAATTGAGATTCCTGTTGTCGGATCCGAAGGTCCTCACGCTCTCCTGGTCCGAGTCCGGTTCCTGGGAGGTCTCCTCGGCTGTGATCTGAAGGATTTTCGGCAGGGAGCTCTGGCTGTCCTGCAATGGAGAGGTTAAAGGTCTGCTGAGTGCAACGCATCAAACAACAAGAACCCCCTTGTATCTGCAAAACTGATTACATTTCAACTAAGTAGCAATTAAATGAATAAATTAGACCCAAAGTGTGCATGTGTACGTGTGTGTGTATGTGTACGCGTGTGCGGGTGATAACTTCCTTACATTGTCAGTTCTTTGGGGGCAGAGACTGGTGTGTATGTGCAGTATGTAAAGCTCTGCATAAGTTGTCGGCACAATACATAATCGTAATATAAAAACATAAAGCAAACTGATACATATTAGTAGGGTAACTATTGTCTGACCCCTCCAGTCCTCATGTCTATATGCGTGATTGTCATGGTCACAAAAAGGACATCAGATCCTAGTTCCTTTGGGCTCAGGGACCAATGTAAATGGCTCCATGTGTTCTTTAAAGTACTACATGCTATGTCAAGCCTAAAAATAAAGTATTTATACATTTATATTGAATTATTCTATTGGCTGAACTCGATGGACTTTTTTCAACCTCACTATGCAACTATGTAAACATTGTATGTTTGCTAAATTAGACTGGGATTCGTTGACGACATACAAGACTCATTTTCGAGCCCTGATCTATGCAGAGCATGCCTTAAAGCTAAGATTTGGGCGATTTGTGGTGAATTCCTATCATAGCATTTGCTGGTCCCACTATGGCAGGTCAATATTTTCCCACCAAGGCAGGTCAATATCTTCCCACCAAGGCAGGTCCACATCTTTCCACCAAGGCAGATAAAGATCTTTCCACCAAGGCAGGTAAAGATTTCCCACCAAGGCAGGTCAAGATCTTTCCACCAATGAAGGTCAACATCTTCCCACCAAGGCATTTCAACATCTTCCCACCAAGGCATTTCAACATCTTCCCGCCAAGGCAGGCCAACATCTTCCCGCCAAGGCAGGTCGACATCTTCACACCAAGGCAGGTCAACATCTTCACACCAAGGCAGGTCAACATCTTCCCACCAAGGCAGGTCAACATCTTTCCACCAAGGCAGGTCAACATCTTTCCACCAAGGCAGGTCAACATCTACCCACCAAGGCAGGTCAACATCTTCCCACCAAGGGAGGTCAACATCTTTTCTAACAAGCTTCCAGGTCTGTGTGTTGAAGGACTGGTGGCTCCTTCTGAGGTTCAGAAAGTCAAGTGGTTGGATGTCCTCCCACCAGTACTGTTCCATGGCTTTGCAGTGGGAGAATTAAGAATCTGAGTGGGATCTCCTGCCACAGAAAGACGAGTGTGTAGATTTAGTAGCTGAACGAACCTTCAAAGCCAAAACTGAAGTCCTGTCAATGAGACTAGTCCGTTCTAAAGTGCCCTCTTCCAGCTCGCGGAGGTAGACTTCATACAGGTCCTCCAGACGGTGCGGGACAGTCAAGTTGTGATCTGAAAAATGATGTGCATAGTATGGCCATGGGTTACATAGTTACATAGTATTTGAGGTTGAATAAAGACATTAGTCCATCAAGTCCAACCTATTAGGATCTCATTCTAGGAGTACCCGTACCCCTGTATATTACCGGTACCCCTGTATATTACCTGTACCCCTGTATATTACGGTCCCTTAAGAAATCGTCCAAAAGTTTCTTGAACAATTCCACATTATTTGCTGAAATCACCGCCTGTGGCAGTGAGTTCCAGACCCTAACTGATCTTACTGTGAAGAACCCCTTTCGCCCCTTGTGCTGGAATTTTTTTTCCACCAATTTTAGGTGATGGCCTCTAGTTTTTGTAACGGAGTTAATTTTAAACAGTTTATCGCTAATGTTGCTGCCACCATTAAACATTTTGTACATGGAAATCATATCCCCCCTTAATCTCCTCACCTCTAATGTGAACATGTTTAAATTTAGTAGCCTCGTCTCGTAGCTCTGGTCCTCCATACCCCTAATTAGTTTGGTTGCCCTTCGCTGGACTTTTTCCAACTCAAGGACATCTTTTCTTAGTACTGGTGACCAGAACTGGACCGCGTACTCCAGATGAGGTCGAACCAATGATCTATAAAGTGGCAAAATTATAGACTTGTCCCTGCAATACATCCCCTTTTTAATACAGGACAAGACCCTGCTAGCTTTGTTTACAGCAGCCTGGCACTGCAAACTACCTTTCAGTTTGTGGTCTACAATGACCCCCAAATCCTTCTCCATTTCTGACTTCCCCAGCGGCATACCCATAATTGTATAACCCATTTGTTTATTTTTAATTCCAAAGTGCATTACTTTGCATTTATCGACATTAAACCTCATCTGCCACATTAATGCCCCTCCCCCTATTTTATCCAGGTCCTCCTGTAATGTTATAGTGTCTAAGTCCGTGTCTATTACCCTCCCTATTTTGGTGTCATCCGCAAACACGGAAATATCGCTGTTAACACCCTCCCCAATGTCATTAATAAAAAATTATCAGTGGTTACATCACTAAAAAGACGATCAATGCTTATATCAGATATAAAGGGGGCTCTTTATATAAAATATGAGTTGAGTCCAATGAGATTTGCAAAATTACAGCCACAGGGCCTTTGTAAAGCTTTGTGAGTTGAACCGATATAAAAAATACTGTGAGGGGAATTGATCAAAACTGGAGCAGACAAAAACTGGATCAGCCGTGCATGGCAACCAATCAGCTTCTCTCTTTCATTTTCAAATCTTAACTGAACAAACTGAAAAGAGATGCTGATTGGTTACCAGGCATCAGCTGCTCCAGTTTTTGTCTGCCCCAGTTTTGATGAATTCCCTCCTGTATGTTTTCAGATCTACCTGCGATGATCCGCCTCTGCTGCCTGATGATCTCGTCGCAGATGCAGCGATGCTGCTCGAACCTCTGCACCATGTAGTTCTTCTGGCGGATCATGTTGTCCTTCAGCAGGGCGTGCGATTGCATCTCGGTGTTCTCGATCTCCAGCTCGTGCACCTTACACAGAAGACTCAGGACCTCCCTCTGCTCCTCCGAGCTGATCCTCTTCGGTAAAACCTCCTCCAGACGCCTGGCTCTCTGACGAATCTCCTTAAATCTCTTTTCCAGCTCCAGCTGTGTGGGAAGAAGATGATGGCATTATAAGACGAGTGTGTATTGGGGGGGGG